AACAGACATACTTTATACTTGTTAAATTAAGATATTATTAATGAAAGAATATTAATTATAATAAGAAATCGATTATTGAAAGGTTAAGCCAAAATACTAATGATTTTTTCTAATATTTGAAGAATCATGACATGTTGCTAAATGATGCACCTGATCTTCAAATATAAATTAATTAATTGTTGAATTGATATTAAATTAAATTATTTAATTTATTTAATTATAATTATAATTTATATTTGAGCCAACATATTAAGAACCTAATGAGTCAAATACATTAAGAATCATTAGTTGGAAATAAAATAGGAATGATAGGACTTGATTAAAATATATTTTAAAAATTAAGAACTATAATATAATTAATATGGAGATTATATTTCTAGACCTAGAAATATTAAATAAAAACTTAATTGAGATAATTTATAAAATTATTTTAGATTAATATATGAATATCATCAAGGAGGCAAATTGATATTTTATCAATTTATATTATTTTTCAGATTCTTTTATAAATAATAAGTTATTTCTCTTATGTAAAGTGGTTGTTTATTAGAAAAGTACTTAAAAATACAATATTAGACTTAACATTTCATGCATAACAATCTCTCTTTCTTAAATAGAGATTTAGAAGATTTTTGACAAGTTATTGTGAATTATCATTAAAAATTGAACATTGAATAATTAAATAATTTATGATTTATAATAATTTAATTTTTAAAAAATTATTTAAGATATAAAAAATATTAAATTTTTTAATAATAAATTTTTAGATAAATCTAATTTAATTTTTAAAAAATTATTTAAGATATAAAAAATATTAAATTTAATTTTTAAAGAATCCCATACAATTTTGTTTCATAATTTTAAATAACCACATGCCGTACGGCACAAAGCATCTATCACCCTTTCATGCCCTTCGTTTGCCTTCTTATCTATCGCTACTCTCTAAAAAGATGGTCGGATTCTAAATTTCTAATTGGACATTCACGATTTCCAAGAAAACATATCTGCAGACAAAAAGTAAGCTTATTTCCTACTCTTTTTCTTTCCACAAAAATTAATTGCTTCTCTAACATCTCTTTTTCGCATTTCAATAATCTGCTGAAGGGTACCCAATTCAAGAACCCTTCAAGCAGACCTCAAAATAACACCATAAAGTTTCAAAGTGAAAAAACATTGAAGGAAAGCAAGTCCCATATCAATCCCATAAAAAAAAAAATTACTTGAATAAAAAGCAGGAGGAAATGAAGTAGAAGACAAAGTAGCAAGTACCTTGAGAGCATCTTTGAGGAGGGGTTCATTGGTGGGGTTGAAAAGACAAGAAACTTTAACCACCCTACCAACATCAAGACCATGCTTATTATTTTTTTCTGCTACTTTTATTCAGCCATGATGGGAACTGGGTTGCTCTTCTCAGCTTCTGCAAATTCCACTGTATGTGCATGTTTCCCTTCATTTCAGACAATACAATCAATCAGAGTTATTAGTTCTATATATTTTCATATATAACGAACCACGTAGAAGAAGAAGTGGTTTAGGGGAAAAGTTGTTGCCATGTTAACAGAGAAAGATACAGCCATTTTTTTGAGCAAGCACTTTCCTTTATCCTGTCTTGTTTTTTTTTTTTTTTGATTTATGTGGGATATCCGAATTAGTGGGACTAATCCCCACAACCCACTAAACATACTGCAAACCCACTAACCCTGTCTTGTCTTGTTGATAACATGAGTTGATGGCTTAAAACTCCAAAATTCAATTAGTGGGACTAATCCTCACAAGCCACTAAACACACTGCAAACCCACGTCTTGTCTTGTTGATAAGATGAGTTGATGGCTTAAAACTCCAAAATTCTTTTTTCTTATGCGTACTCCTCCACTGTTTGATGTCTTAATTCAATTATCATTTTCATTTTCATCTTTGTCCCTCATCTATCAGTTTCTTCACTAAATTTTTGTTGTCTTCTGATTGACCCATTCATGTTTCATTCATTTGTCAATCGGCTCCTTCTGACTGCCTTCCTTAGCAAAATTAACAAAAATTTCTTTCTTGTTATTATTAATATTTGAGTTTCAATTTCCTTCCAAAAGGATCAATCATTTCCATTAATTTTTTGACATGATTTATTTTAAAAATATATCGAAAGATTGTTCTTGAAAGTTATTTCAGTTGAAAATGAAAAAAGAATACGGAATATATATGAAAGTTAAGAAAGATATAAAGCCAAGTTCATTTATAATTTCTTGAAAAGGCTCAACAAGAAAAATATAAAATATTGAAACATAAAAGGCTAAACCCAGTTAAAATTAAATCAAAACAAAGGGATCTTTTGCTAGTAAAAAAAATATCAAAATCAATGAGAATATTACAGGAGAATGAATCGAGTTGCAATGTGGTCTTTGGGTTGCCGCTGAGATTTTGAGATTTTTCAATTCGTGATGTCTTTACGTTTTGGATGAAGATTAAGGGTTCATTTTCGTTATTTACAATTTAGGACGTTGTATTTGATATACGGCTAAAAAATAATGAAGAGTTTTTACCGGAGTAATCTTTAAATATATAAAAGTAGTTTATAAGGATGTTTTGTACGTTAACAAATTAGAGAACAAATTATTAGTGAAAAAAAAAGACCGTATATTAAAATTGAAGATGTACCAAAAAATTCAATTGTCATGAGAATAATTAAATTTTATCTTGAATAATCTATTAATCTTTTAATTTTACTAATTATATTTATTTATTCACGTTAAAGTAATTGATATGATTGAGACTAAGTATTTTTTTAGTTTAATTTTTTTTAATATTTAAATAAATATCTTTTTTAAGAAGATATAATGATATTTTATAGAAAAATTCTAAAAATAAATATATTATGGAAATGGGCCTAGAAAACCAATAGCATGTGATATTTATGTGATATTTATTTTGGTGATCTTTTCAAAAAAAAAAAAAATTTAGAAATCATTTTAGATCTACAAAGTTCTATCATCTCTTTTAAAAACAGAGATTCTGACCGATTCTCTTAAAATCTCTCAAGTTTTTAATGTAAAATTATGTATTAAAAGCTTTGAAAGATAATTGATGAATTAATTTTTTATTAAAGTTTTTAATTATATATTAGTTTTTAGATTTGATAATTAATAAACCTAAAATAATATGGATTTAATGAATATACGAGATTAAAAGAAGTTGAATATAATAATTAATTAAATTTAAAGTAACGAAGATTTACCAAGCATCCAGACCTAAAGAAAAACTTTCTATCTAAGAAATTTATGATCTTATTATGTATTTCAAAAAGGCCATTTGATTTTCCCATCCTATTTTCTCTTTGCAGCGAGGAAGGTTCTTAATAAAATATTTCGAGGGAAACCTTATAAATGACATAAACTAATCCATCCCGTGAGCGTAGTTGTTGGATGGGGGGGTCGGTGGGCTTGCAAATTACTTAAAGCTAGCTGGTTTTGGCTGGCATATAATAAAAACCACATTAACACTAGCTAGCTTGAATAATATATATATCGAGAGAGAGAGCGAGCCACACACACATTTATATATATATATAGACACGCGCACACACGCACACACACATTTTGTTAAACAATGCGGCAGAAAATCAGGGACTTGATTCTTGGACAGGACAGGATTCCATCAATTCCAACCGTTCAACTGTCTTTGCATCTTATAATTTGACTGGTTTTGTGGCTCCATAATATTTATCCTTACTAAAGCAACCTGTTAATTATTGCCCATCACAACTTTGCTGACGCATAATTCCCGTGTTAAAAATTCTTTCTATACACTCCCCCGCTTGATAATATTTTTTTTAAGTAATTTTTATAGAAATTATTTTTTAAAATAAATTATTTTTAATATTTAACATAAAAATAAATAATAACAAAAATAAAAAGAATTAAAACTAAAATTTGTATGAAATTCAAATTTGAAGGGATGAAATTAAAAAAATAAAAAATAATTAAAATATTAAAGATTAAATCTATACACTTAACAAATAAAAATTTAAAAAAATATATTTAAAAAATACTTTTCTAAAAATCAACCTAAATTTTTATTTGATTAAAAAATAATTTTTATTAAATAATCTTTCTAATAATAAATAAATACAAAAAAATTTAAAAAAGTAATTTGAAAAAATCAATTTTTTTAAACAAACAAATCCTTAAAATATTTTATTATATGTGTTTATCCTTGATTTTTTAACCAAAAAAATATTTTTTTGACTTCTCCATTTTATTTTATTTTTCTTTGTGTGTTAAAACGCAAACCCAGTTGCAGCGACATAAAAGGTTGAAAGTAGTATCGAGACCTGTGGTTCAATGCTCGAAGCTGTTTAATTATTATATATCTCGAGCTCTCAACTTGACAAAGTTGCTCTCCCTATTTCACTCATGATGGTAATTAACAGACACCACTAATTACATGATTGAGTTTACCCTTTTCCCCCCTAATAAACAATAATTAATGCAGCAGGTCAAAGTTTGAGAGGTAATTACTAATTAAGTTGTAATTTAAATTAAGGTCATTGACTCGATTATTAGCATATATCTTCATCATCAACTTGAAGGTCACTCATTTAGGTTTCTGCTTTTGCAGCTGAGCACAGCACGTGTAGAGCTTTAAATGCACCCAACTGACTACTATACTGGATGAAGCAATGTTTTCCTTTTTCTCCCCTCTTGAATCAATAATCCCTCGTCTCTTTCTCCAGGGGACGCTGCAAGTTGTAGCTGGGGAATGAAAGTTTGCTACTGGACAATTGTTTGATTCCTAAGCACATATATTTATATATATATATATATATATATTAAAAATCTAATGGTAACGAGCTAACAACAGAATTGCTTATATCATAGTTTATTACATGCAACAACGTTATGTTTACTCAACCAACGTGGCTACACCATGTCTTCAAAACTAAGGTCAACGAATCTTTTTAAGAAGCGATTATCAACTTTAATTACCTTGCTAGAAATATAACTGGTATTTGGATTACTCTGGCAGGTTTCATAGACCCTCTCCCTCCCTCGCTCCCCCTTCTTAAAGGAAATTCCATAACAACCTTCACAGAGAATGAGAGAAATTTATTCCGCAACACTTATGATCTCGTCCATCTTATTCATTGTTTTTCTTGTACAATTGCTTGTATGCAAGAAGAAGAGCAAGGAAAAGACAAGGTACAAATTGCCACCAGGTAGTCGAGGCTGGCCATTGATTGGTGATAGCTTCAACTGGTACAATGCTGTTGCTGGTTCTCATCCCCCTCAATTTGTTCACCAACAAGTCAATAGGTACAGTCTCCTATTCTTTATTACCATATATCGATTATCATTTAGAGAAAATTTACTCCTTGTTTTACATTAATTATGAAGGCATGTTCTTGAAATATAGTTGACATGAACAGGTTTGGTAAGATATTCTCATGCAGTTTGTTCGGAAAATGGGCTGTGGTATCAGCAGACCCGACCTTTAACCGGTTTATAATGCAAAATGAAGGCAAATTGTTTCAATCAAGTTATCCAAAATCTTTTAGAGATTTGGTTGGGAAAAATGGGCTGATCACGGTCCAAGGAGAGCAACAACGAAAGCTTCATGGAATTGCATCTAATATGATGCGTCTAGAGAAGCTTAAGTTCCATTTCTTGGATAATATTCAATTGATTATGCTTCAAACTTTGAACAAACTTGACAACAACCAAGTCATTCTTCTCCAAGATGTTTGCAGAAAGGCGAGTAGTGCTCTAGTACTCTCTCTCTATATATAGCAACACTTGACTATTAGAATTAAGGAAAATTTAGGCCATCATGATCATTGGATTAATTACATGTTGTATCAATATTGATACTTGGTTAATGATTTATTATTGTTCAGGTAGCTATTAATCTGATGGTGAATCAACTACTTGGGGCATCAAGTGAGACAGAAATTAACGAGATGGCTCACTTCTTCTCTGACTTTGTCGATGGTTGTCTATCTCTTCCCATAAATATTCCTGGTTTTGCCTACCACACTGCCATGAAGGTAAACTCTGAAATGTTGAGTTTATGGAGTATCATATTATATAATATATGTATATTGTTAGTGATGTAGAGAGTACATGTCATGGCTTGGTAGGCAAGGGAGAAAATTATAAGAAAGATAAACAAGACAATAGAGAAGCACGGGCAAGAAGAGTCATCAGAAGGTGGTAATGGGGTGCTTGGAAGGCTATTAGAGGAAGAAAGTTTGCCTGATAATGCAGTAGCAGACTTTATTATCAATCTCCTTTTTGCTGGGAATGAAACAACAGCTAAAACCATGCTTTTTGCTGTTTATTTCGTCACTCGGTGTCCAAAAGCAATGCAGCAACTACTGGTACTGCCTTCTTAGCTATATATTAATTAATTTTCTGCTTAATAATTATTAGTATTAATCTCCACGCCTCCTTCAAGCAATTGTTCATTGTATCCAATATACTACGTCATTTATATCATCCATCATCTTCGATCTGATAGGATAAATTTGTTGTCACTTAATTTTATAAACAGGATGAACAAGATAGTATAAGGAGTAATTCTAGTGGAGACGGAATGCTAACATGGCAAGATTACAAAGCAATGTCTTTTACTCAGTGTGTAAGTGATGCGTATGAAAATTGTCCTTAATTGATCCCCTACTATCCTACCTAATTAATTTCTTCCCACCAGTCACATGCAGTTGGGTCTGATAAACTGTATTTGATCTATTTATTTATTGGATTCTTCTGTTGCTGGCACAAATTAAATAGGTTATTGATGAAACGCTTCGACTAGGGGGGATTGCAATATGGCTAATGAGGGAGGCCAAGCAAGATGTGGTATACCAAGGTACATAAACTAAGCTCTACCATCACTTTGAAAGTAATACCATTACTTTGAAAGTTATTTTGGTTTTCATCTCATACAAATTATGGTAAAAACTTGGGTTTAAAAAGACAGTCTTTTTTAAACTAGCTTTTCTCAAACAGCAAAAGCAAAAGGCTACCACAAAACACACACTACTGGACTGGAATGTCATTAATTAATGTGTTGCAATTTGATTGCAGATTATGTGATTCCGAAAGGGTGCTTTGTGGTTCCATTTCTTTCAGCGGTTCACTTGGATGAAAATTTGTACAAGGGAGCTAGCACATTCAATCCTTGGAGATGGATGGAGCCTGAAAATCAAGTACTACTTCATTATTTTTTTAACTCGCATATGTTTATCTTCATTTCATATCAGTAGTAGAGATTTTGATATATTTCATATCGCATAATTACTTCTGAAAACGTTGTTTTTGATTAATTACTTGATCTCTTCGACATTGAACAATTAATTAATTAAAAAGGAAAAGAGAAATTGGAGAAGCAGCCCATTCTACTGTCCCTTCGGAGGAGGTGCTCGGTTTTGTCCGGGAGCAGAGTTGTCTCGTCTCCAAATTGCTATCTTTCTTCACTACTTTGTTACTACATTTACGTACGTGAATCCTCCCTCTTTTTTTGAAATTAATCTTACCATAAAAAAGAAATGTCATTGAACGTCATTGAACTTACAATTGGTATTTGTGTTTACAACTTTGAAATGGAGGGATGAACAGATGGACGCAGCTCAAGGAAGATAAGATGTCCTTCTTTCCATCAGCTCGCTTGGTTAATGGTTTCCAAATTCGTGTGACAAGCCGCCATCATCTCGACTCAGAATCGTTGTAATAATTGTTTGGAGTGAAATTTCATTTGTTTATGTATAATTTTGTTCAGCACGATATGTATTTTTCCTAACCTGTAATTATTTCTTTTTCTTAATATAAGTAGCTACCTATGGTCCCTGACTACTACTATATACAATATATTACAGCATATCCCCCATTCTTTCCTAATCAAATTCATTAATTATAGGTATGTATGAACCAAATCTTTGATAGTACTAATTAATGAAGTTGATTTCATATAATTGAATTAATTGATTTCTCAAAACGAATGCCAACTTATTAAAGGAATCCTTCTGCTGCGTTTGTTCGACAAGGTGAAAGGAGTGCCAAAATTAGTTTATTATCTGATTTGCCTAAAAAAATCTTTGTCGGGAGAAAAGAATAACACGACAACCCACAACCATCTGCATATGTTACTAAAGAGCAGGGATGTTCAAAATTGTTTGTGCTAAGTTTTCTAACATGTATACGGTAGCATAGCTTAGGTAGATTAGGAGAACAAAAACACAGCAGCTATAGACCTCCACAAACGCGGTTGCAATCCCTAGAAGCAACTCTCTTCACAACAGAGAAAATCACTGCAGCCTCTATTGAAGAATCAGATCTTTCCCGTGCAAAGAAAAAACACGAGCCCAGCAGTAGCATCTCCGACAGCAGCCCTCAATCACGTCAACAGAGTTCTCCCTTCCACAACATTAGAAAAACACGCGAAGCAGCAGCAACACATATGCTCTAATACCAATTAAGTATTCAACCATGCTCTGATGTTAATTGTTAAAAACACTAAACACACTAATAATTTAATCTCCCAAGATCTTTATATATAGGAAGATTTTAGGATAAAAATAAGCTTGAATGGTCATATTAGAAAAAGGTCTGCATTGATAATTAGAATCATGTTAGATATATCTCCATCAACTCTAACTAACAGTCATGTTGGTCCTTCAAGTTACATAACAAGAAAGACAGAGCAGACAAGAGATTTATGATGTAATATAAAAAATCAATCTTGATAATATTAATATATTTTGTTTGTTTTCAGAAAATAATTATTTTTTATTTAAAAAGGCATTCCAAAAAAATAAATAAAAGCAAGTAATGAAAGAGAAAATCAATTCATTATGGAAAATAATATATAGAAATAAGAGTGAAATGGATCTTCAAGACAGAGAGGAATGCAAATAATAAAATTAAATACCATAAAATCAAACTAGTAGTAAAGGGGTATGAGCAACAATATAAAATTGATTATGAAAATGTTTTTGCTTTAATAGCAAAGATGAAAATAGTGAGATTGATGATCTCTTTAATAGCTTAGAAAAAATGAAAAACATTTCATATGGTTGACAAGTCAGCATCTTGAATGACAGTATTAAAGAAATTTATGTACAACAACTAGTTGGATTTATGATTAAAAAAAAAAAAGATTTGTAGATTGAAGAAAGATTTTTATGTGCTTAAACAAGCACCATAGAACATGAAATTCTAAAATTGATGGCTATCTTTCACATAAAGGATTTACAAAAAAAAATTATAAACATACATTATATGTGAAGAAAATTTTACAAGGTAAAATAATATTTGTTTATTTATATGTTGATGATATAATCTTTATAGGAGATGATCCTATTATAATTTAAGGTTTCAAGCAATTTACAATGAAAAAATTTGAAATGACAGACTTAGATCTCATAGCTTGCTTTTTGGGAATAGAAGTGAAATAGTGTAGTGATGAAATCTTTATTTCATAAGCCAAGATATAACAAAAATTTTAAAGAAATTTGCTATGGAATATCAAACCAAATTAACTAAAAAAGAAAAATGAGATTTAGTTAATTCTCCATATATGCATCAGACCAAACATATTGTTTAGAGATGGCTTGAATGGAAAGTATATGAAAAGGTTAAGAAGTTTACATTTAAAAATAGCAAAAGGAATCGTATGTCTTGTTAAAGGGACAACAAGTTATAGATTGTATTATTCATCTTCACGTAGTCTTGAAATTATATGATACAATAATAGTGACTGAGCAAGAATTTTGAAAGATAAAAAAAACACAATTGAATTTGTATTTTTTATGGGAGAGATAATTTTTACTTTAACATTAAAAAAATAATATATTGTTGCATTATCTACATGTGAAGCAAAATACTTGCATGTGTCATGTAATATTTCTAAGGAAACTATTGGAAAATTTATAGCAGAAACGAAATGAAATTACAAGAATTTTTGTTTACAACAAGTTTACTATAATACATACAAAAATCTAGTTTATCATACATGTTCAAAACATATTAATACTCGATTTTATTTTATTAAAAAGCATATAAAAAAAATGTAGAATTAATTTATGTTAAAACTCATGAATAAATTATTGATAGTTGTATAAAATTATTGAAGACCGATGCCTTCTATTATTTTGCAAAAGAAGTTTGAAATTGTGAAAATAGATGAAATAAGTTTAAGAGGAGAGAATATTAGTTATTAAACTTGTTTATTAAAATTAAGTATATTGAAGTTAGTGCTATAATAAATAAATATGAAAATTAGAAATAATATAAATTTAAAGAGCCAAATATTAATTAAGAAGATTCTAAAAGATAATTTATAATATTAATATATATATTGTATGAATTCTGGAAATAAAAGGTGTAAGAAGTTGTATTCCATCCAAATGTATAAGTGTTGTAGCAGAATTGTGAATAGCAACCAAACCCTTCCTCTGTCATTTTGTGATAGTTTCTCCAACAGTTATTCCTTCTTGTCCGCGCTGGGAAATGCTCATCTTGCTCCGTGGTACTCTCGATTTAGCATCTTGAATTTGAGCATTTTAAAGCACCCGGTGGGCTTGTTAGGGATCTTGCATATTAGGCTTTGCCTATGCCTGTGATACACGCACTAGAGTGTGGATAATTCCGGCACCTTGTGACGGTGCTTGTGTCTTCTTTCCGGCCTTCAGTGAATTTGTCTTTGTGAGATCGTATCTTTTCATGGTTTCTTTTTAAATTGAATTTGTCTTTGGTCCAATAACAAGAAGTTGTCCGGTCTTGTGGTTGGGCCTTAGGCCCGTCTTCTTGACTGAACAGAAAGGGCCTGTAGCCCAACTTTCCTCCTCCTCCTCCTTCTTCTTCTTCTTATAAAACCAAGCTTTATATATTAATTATGTACAAATGCAAATATATACGGTCCACCTAGCTTCATTGGCATTATATATGACAATATCCAGCTGGTGCACCTGCCATGCCATGCTCTTGAGTCTTATTTGACATTCCTTTGCCTAATTCCTCGGCATTTAAAAACAATTAGTCAATTACTGCAGTATCTTCTTACATGTATAAATATAACAATAGCACTATATACTAAAATGAGTTTGCTTCCTCTGTTGTCTCAGATTCGAGTTCTTGGTTGCTCATATGATGGCCACTGGAGGTTTACATGGTCGTTAATTTCAGAACCCGTGGGATTAGTCGTGGTGCGCACAAGCTGGCCCGAACACCCACGTTAATCTAAAAAAAAAAAAATAGTAAAAATGAACCCTAAACAATTAACACCAAGCAAGCAGCTGTCACATTGTTATTATATACATTTTAAACAATTTATTTGCTGTTTCCGCTTTTGTGTCTAGGAAAAACTCTGGAATCTTTGCAAACCTTGCCTTGCCCACATCATCAAACTGTAGTGCTCGTTTAACATTAAAGAAAGAAAAGGTATGGCTTAATTTGTGGAATTAATTAATGCTTCCACCCCAAGTTTTAAGATCTTTCAAGTCCCATTTTCAATCACCAATTATTCCCATGTCTTTCTCCTTTCTCCAATTTCAAAAGACCTGATCATGGATTTAGCTGTTAGCAACATATTTGTTGTTGCAACTTTTGTTGTCTTCAATTTGATCTTTGGCTTGTCAAGCACCATGACTGTTCATTCCTTGTATCAAACCAAGGTGTTCTTTCCTGAAGAAAGAGATGCATTGATGCAGATAAGAGATTCTGTCAGTTCTGCGTTAGATTTGCATGGGAATTGGACTGGACCGCCGTGTAACCAAAATTCGGGCAGATGGGCAGGCATTATCTGTTCAAATTGGCATGTGGTTGGCCTTGTGCTTGAAGGAATCCAGCTCACAGGTTCTCTCCCACCTACATTTTTACAGAACATTACTTTCTTGGCTTATCTTAATTTCAGAAACAACTCAATCTATGGACCTCTTCCTAATCTCAGCAATCTTGTGCTTTTGGAATCTGTCTTTTTTTCATACAACCGCTTCACTGGTCCAATTCCATCCGAGTACACTGAATTGCCAAACTTGGAACAATTGGAGTTGCAACAGAATTATTTAGATGCGGAGATACCACCTTTTGGTCAACCGACATTGACCCTTTTCAATGTGTCCTATAATCATCTTCAAGGCTCCATTCCTGATACTGATGTCCTTCAGAGGTTCTCAGAGAGCTCCTATGATCATAACTCAAATCTCTGTGGAATTCCGTTGGAACCATGCCCAGTTCTGCCTCTTGCTCCGCTCATACCGCCTCCATCTCCTCCCATAAGTCCACCGCAGAGCAAGAAAAGGAAGCTTCCAATTTGGATCGTTGTTTTGGTCTCGGTTGTATCAACCCTTGCTGCATTGATGGTCATGTTTGTTTTTTTGTGTTGTTATAAGAAGGCACAAGAAAAGGAAACACCAAAAGAACATCAGGCAGGTATATTATATACTAATTATCCTGAATTTGCTTCATGATTGACTATATGTTTCCATTCTTTCACAGCATAGGTTTTTAAATTCCTTTTTTGTTTATTGTTTCAAATTCAAATAGGGGAAGACGGTTCTTCAGAGTGGACAGACAAAAAACCGGCGTATTCCCGAAGTGCTGAGGATCGTGAAAGAAGCGTAGAGTTGCAATTTTTTGACAAGAATATACCTGTTTTTGACTTAGATGATTTACTAAGGGCATCTGCGGAAGTGTTAGGAAAGGGGAAACTTGGCACCACATACAAAGCAAACCTGGAATCAGGTGCTGTCATTTCCGTTAAGAGAGTGGAGTACATGGACAGCTTGAGCAAGAAGGAATTTATTCGGCAGATGCAGCTTCTGGGAAAGATGAGGCACGAAAACCTTGTGCAAATAATCTCCTCTTACTATTCCAAGGAGGAAAAGCTGATTGTCTATGAGTTCGTACCTGGTGGAAGTTTATTTGAGCTGTTGCATGGTTAGTTCAAGTCCTCTCCCTTTCCATCATCTTAATTATATGTGTGTTAATTTATGATCCTCCAAATTCATATATGCCATTAATACGATAAGGAACTACGTAGCTATAACAACTTTGTCTTCTGACAAATAATACCTGTGGCTGCTAGAGAATAGAGGAGTTGGAAGAATCCCTCTGAATTGGGCTGCAAGATTTTCGATAATCAAAGACATAGCCAACGGTATGGCTTTCCTTCACCAGTCCTTACCTTCTCACAAGGTCCCACATGCCAACCTCAAATCATCTAATGTACTAATCCGCAGAGATCGCCACAGCTACCACTCTAAGCTCACAAACTATGGCTTCTTGCCTCTGCTGCCTTCTCGGAAATTATCCGAAAGGCTAGCTGTTGGCAGGTCACCGGAATTTTGTCAAGGAAAGAAGCTAACACACAAAGCTGATGTATACTGTTTTGGCATTATCATATTAGAAGTCATAACAGGGAAGATTCCAGGAGGGACTTCACCAGAAGAAAACTATGAAAAAATTTCTGATTGGGTTAGAATGTTAGTGAATAATGATTGGTCAACAGACATATTAGATGTAGAGATCTTGGCTTCAAGAGAGGGGCATAATGAGATGATGAAGCTGACTGAGATAGCTCTGCAGTGTACAGATATGGCACCAGAGAAACGGCCTAAGATGAGTGAAGTATTGATAAGGATAGAAGAGATTGATCGAACAAACCGAGGAAATGACTAGAAAGAGAATATGTTGAAGCTCTGCTAATTCCCCATTCTGGCGATAACTTGGCCTTGCATGGTGTGACCATCGCAAGGAAATGATGACCGTGCTTCGTGTGACCATCGCAAGGAAAGGATGCCCATGCTTGCAATGTCATGACTTGGAGCTGATTTCAACTTAAGCTAACCATGCGGCAGGGAGGCTGACTAACGGCAGGATTGGTTGGTAGAAATATACAGTGCTCTACGTTTCAACTATAAGCACACTACAAGATCAAGTGTAATGAGATTGATTTATTCAAACTGACATTTTTGTGTGGAATAGTGGTTGTGATCTTCTAATATATCGATTTAAACTCTGCAGAGCACAATTAATGAATTCCCAATTGTTCATTACCATTGTCATATGATCCCAATAATTAATGTAACATAAATGGTGGATTAAGTAGCGCATAGATGGTGTAGAAAATTGGGAAAAGAAAAGCACAGGGTCCTAATGCAAGCAAAGAATCATCTCTCCGAAATCGTTGGTTAGCCAGTTTGGTGCGGAATCGGACCAAGAAAGATGAACATGGAAATTGAAGCGATGAGCAGCCCAAACAAATGTCAAAAAAGGCCCAAGTCCACCCAGTATCATCGACAAGATCTAGCACATAGCTAACCATGGCAGTGAGCCCGTGACGAACCAACTTATGAAAGTGAAGTATGCAAGCAGTATCGGTACAGTCTTCCAGGATTGGCCTGGACGCACCGAGGATAACCAATTACAATGATGGTTTAATTTGGACTAGGTGGAAGCTTACACCTATACCCAAACAACTTCATTTCTGAAGGATGGAATTGAAGAGGATATGCATGTATGTGACATGAAGACAAGAACTCAGAAAGCAAGTATTGTCACAAGAGAAGTGATAGGTATCATGAGAAAGAAGGAAACCGCTCCACTTGGAGTGAAGAGGCAGCACATATAACCCTACGTGTCAACATGGACTCATTGCCATTCCCCAAGTGTACATATGGCTCCATCTTCTCTTTGGCTGATTTAAGCTAGAACACCCCCACTTCTAATCCATGCATCAACCCATCTGCCTAGCTAGCTAGCCCCTCTCTACCACTCTTCCCTTCTTGTCTCTAGCCAAGATCAGAGACCATATTGATACCGCCTTCAGTGCTAGCACTTAATTTAGCTAGCTAGCTTGTGGACTTTTCTTGGACGCCTGCTGGCCCCTGATCTTTAACAACATATATTACTGAGGAGTACTGAAAGGGAGGGGAAGAAAATACAAGGAAGAGCTATTGCACCTAAGTAATAAAGACACCATGCCTCGCAGACATGAATTTGGGAGGGCTGATGAGGCCACCCACCCCGACTCCATGAGAGCCGCTTTGGCTGAATTTGTCTCCACTTTCGTCTTTGTTTTTGCGGGAGAAGGCTCTGTCCTTGCTCTTGGTACGGGTTATAATACTTATATTGTTACATATTATCCCTCGCCATCACCAGCATCAGTATATATACATTTTCAATCTCTTGTATTACTTTCTGCTTTCAACCATTTTATCCTTTTAACTTCGAACTAAACATTAATTCATCGATCATCTCGATTATTTTTGCAAACAGACAAGTTGTACAAGGAAACCGGGCCACTGGCTTCCGGGCTCGTGGTGGTTGCACTTGCACATGCATTGGCACTGTTTTCCGCTGTAGCATCGAGCATCAACATATCAGGTGGCCATGTAAACCCTGCTGTTACCTTCGGCTCACTTGTTGGTGGCAGGATATCGGTTATTCGAGCTGTCTATTATTGGGTTGCCCAGCTCTTGGGTTCTATTGTCGCAGCTCTCTTGTTGAGGCTTGTCACCAATGGCATGGTAAGACATTTAGCAGCCTTTGATTATAGGTTGTTTTGACATTTTCTGTCACTGATTTCACTCGTTTCTCAGTGATAAAATAACTAGGCTCTTGATTTTTGCAGAGACCAGTAGGGTTCCATGTGCAGTCAGGAGTTGGAGAGGTGCATGCGCTTCTATTGGAAATGGCACTGACATTTGGGGTGGTCTACACAGTGTATGCAACAGCCCTTGATCCTCGAAGAGGAAGCTTGGGGATCATTGCACCTCTAGCAATTGGGTTCATTGTGGGGGCAAATATCTTGGTTGGTGGTCCGTTTGATGGGGCCTCTATGAACCCAGCAAGAGCTTTTGGGCCTGCTTTAATTGGGTGGAGATGGAGAAGCCATTGGATCTACTGGGTTGGTCCTTTCCTTGGAGGAGGCTTGGCAGCACTCATATATGAATACATTGTGATCTCCACAGAGCCCGTACCTCGCCATTCTCATCAGCATCAGCCCCTGGCTCCTGAAGACTATTAGTCGTCGTCTTCTATCAAATTTGCATCATATATTGTCTGTAATTACGTTTACCTTGTTTTGTATGTTCGGTGTCGTGTCTTTCACTGCCTTTTGGGTCTGGGACATTGTGATTGTGAGGAGTTTGTCTAGTGTCAAGTGAAGCCGAGGCCATGAATTATGACGCGTGGAAATAAAGGCGTTACAGCCGCTTTCTATTACTGTATTTTATTGCCTTTCGTCTTCCTACTGCTACTAGGGTAAGCGTAATCCTATTGCTTCTTTTACTTGGTCATATGCGCAAATTTTTTCAAGGCAGTAGCAGCGCACACACAGAATCAGGACACTACTTCAACGGACTGGGAGATGTCCCGCTGTGTGGGGGCACTACTTCAATGAACTGTCCACCCGGGGGGGGTTGGGGTTGGTGGTTGGTGGGTTCAGAAAGTATACAACTAGTTAAAAGGGTGTATTCCTATATATACTTTATCATTGTGGAATATGAATGAGAGTGTTATGCTCGGTTATAGAATCTGGCTACCCAAGGAGCAAGTTCAGTGAGATGAGGTGCTCTTGGATGAGCGGCATAATAATCAGACCAATAACATGGTGATAGTCTATCTGCAAACTTCCCACCAGAATAGACACAAAATGGCAGCCAAGTTTCACCTCCATTCATCCTTCTCTTCCTTTCTCTAGGGTAAGCCAGAGGTGCCTGTATATACCTGCATTAATTTCAGACGTTTTGATGAGATTGATGCGCCTCCTAAAAAATGACTCTTATGTTTGTTAACCGTCTGAAGTATCACTTCAGAAGTCAAGAATACTCACTATTGTCACAGCTAAGGCATCTCTTAGCTGTGGTCAATCCAAAAAAAATAATTTGAAGAGTTACAGAAGGGGGTATCCCTGCATTTTGGACTATTTCATCCCAATCTCTCTTGTGGATGGTATAATTATACCAAGTTTGTATGTTATCAAAAAGCCGGTGTTGAAAGGAAAGATGATCTTCCCTTTTTCTCCTACACAAATATGCCTCCTACCCCATTTTATATCCTGAACTCTAATGATTATAACAATAAATCTAGATGAAGGGCACCTAGGGTATCCATTCTTGAACCCATCTGATCGATCCACCATCTCATAGGATGTCCTGGATCTATGACCACTTTTAATATACTATACTCTTTTTATTTTTATTTTTCACTTTTTGATGTCCATCCCCTATCAGATGCATGAAATCATGATTTAAGAAGAAAAAAATTAGATCCCACAGAAGGTATGAAGCTAAACTACAATTATATATTTATATTGAAACTATTGAAAAGCTTAACTTGATTGTCTAACCTATCAGAGGTGCTTTTCTGCATCCCCTGAGACCTGCCTACAACACTGACATGTCATATTTAACTCCAAGGAGCTTCTGAGCTCCAAAAGGCTATGCTCTAATTAACTTAATCCAATAGTTTAGGTACCAGTTCCATAACCTACCGCAACTATTCACATGGGCAACATCTCTCAACTCATTTAAAAGTCAGATCCTGGTCTGATCCAGTTATCTTCAGCATAAATCCAAGAAATGAATGATTTAATCTTAGTAATCAACCTTGCCTATTGGAAATTAGAAAAGTAAATTTTTTGTATTCAATCTGAAAACTAAGATTTTTATTTAAATCAACCCCAGCCACAGCTACAAGATGATCATTCCATGGGAAAATAAGCAATTCTTTTTGTTAATGGCAGAAATTATTGCAGTTGTCAAAATTGGGAAGTCTGCCAGCTATAAATAGTTTAGAGAGAGCAGAAGGGACAGCAAACACAGAAATCTACAATGGCAATAGGCTACTATGTAACTACAATCTCTGCTGGAAAACTGCAGCTGCTGCTTCCAATTATGGCAGCTCTCTTTCTACATGTTTGCTATGTTCATTGTTCTGTGTGCTCTCTCAAGCTTTCCCATTTTCAGGCACAATTTCTGCCATTGGCATGCTGATGTTCCACCAGATTTTGTCATTAACAGTTTCAAGAAATTTATCATTTTCCTTTGAAGAAGGTTCCATAAGAAAACTACACACAGGGGCCAAGCTCACAATCTAGTCAATGCTCCATGAAAATAATGTGTGGGAAATGAGTCATTCCTCGTGTAGTCCTAACTCCTGAAATTAACTATCCTTGCTAAACTTGACAACAACACCAGCTCTTTACAAGCATCGATAGCTGCATCTTCCTAACGCTGTTAAGACCTAAATCAGGACAAATTCCTCAATTTGTTAGCATCCGACTCCCCTGGATTTCCTTATATGATTCTAAGCAATAATTTCTTATAGGACCACGCAATTAAAAGTGAGGTGAATCTCCTCATGAGTTTAAATATTTTTGTCCCCACAGAAGTCCACTTACGAATCAATCATGTATCCATGAGACCTCCTTCCTAAGGTCAGCACATACCATCTTTCTTAGCAGTTTCAGCATAAAGAAAATCTTCTTACATCACATAACATAGGATAGTACACATTCTTAGGTTCATAGTTCCTTTTTTTGCAATATAGATACCTTTTAAGTCCTAGTAATGCAGACAATTCATGTTAACGTTCAGTCCCTAAAACAGTCCCACAAACCTGTCCTCTATCACCTAGAATCTTGGGAATTGAACAGATTTTATATTCCTATATCCTTCCAAAATGTCATATAGTTTCTGTTAAAAGATAGAGCGCATCTCAACATGATACAATTCTTCTAATTTTCCAAATAATATTAGTCTCTACTGTCTTTGAGTTTTCACTCTTCACAACTCAAGTTTGCAATTCAGCGAACACAGAAAAAATATTCATCTTATATCATTTCTTCTCGCACCAAGGACATAAAAAAACTGAGTGATAACTGTAATTAAAACTTTTGCGTCAAAGGAATGGATTTACCTTATACCATCAAGCACAGAATCCCAGCAAAAATGTGTATGACCAAACACATGGCATGCAGAAGCATTCCCCTCACTTCCATGTATTGACCTTATGCGAACCTCGAGAAAATCAGAACCAATGATTTTTGGAAGGTTCGGATAAAATAGCATCCTTTTCTCTGGACAGAGTTCTTGCCTGGGTTTAAGAAAAGGGTGTGACAAATGATGTATCTGTATAGTAAGAAAATCTTAAATGCTAAGTGGTGGCTTTGAGTCATTTGATGTTTATTTATGCTCCAGTTTTTCCGAGCAAAACGCATCCAACCTTAATGAACAGGAGTTAGATTTAGAGAATTATAAGAAGATGAATCTCTATATGATAAAAACAAACTAACAAAAAAAAATAGCACTGGAGTTCCAAGAATAGATATAAAACAATAGCAAGCTTCATAGTTTGTGGTGATTTTTAAGTTTTAAGAAGTAATTTCTGAGTATTGCAATAAAAGTTTTAGAGCAACTAACCTGGGAAGAAAGTGAGAGAATGTAATTATTTGAGTGCATGTATTTTTGATTAATTTAATTGCGTCCTCATTTTCTTCATTCATTGCATCAAAGTATGAGGCAAGAGAGGTTGATCTGTTTGATATTTCCCTTGGCCATTTGCATGCATGAAAGTCCTTGCATACCTACAATTAAAACAAATTAAATGGATATGCACAACTCAAAAAAAATTACGAGCATTTACAATGTCACAAACTATAAATTACTTGATTGTGAAGTAAACCAGACAAATAAAAAGGCAGATGAACAAATGAAAGGAGTTCTAAACAAACCCAAAGAATAGCATCCACATAGTCTTTTTAGGATGAATCACCTACATAAACACCTAGAGGTTCACTCTAGCCAGTGACTATGCGCGATGCAAAGTTGTTCTGCTTTCATCCTTTCCTCTTTACTTAAAATGGTTAGATCTACAACGACCAGTACTGAAACTCCCAAACTATGAACCAACCCCTAAAGCTCCTATCAATTCCCAGACTCCGAGATACTTCAAGTTTCAAGCATTTAGATGCTGCAAGTATAAAATCTTGCACCAAGATAAATAATCAAATACTGTCTTTTTTCAATATGGAAAAGCTTGAGAAAATCAGGCGCTAAATAGCCAACCATCTAGGTATCTAAGATTGATTAACTCAATCTACTCTATATTAGATTGTCAATATGGTAATTCCATTTTCCTTTACTGATGAAGGACAGAGGGAATGTCACGGGTGCCATGCACTGTCAAGTATCAAAACAGAACTAAATCCATATGAAAGTTAAGTCAAGCATCATAACTATACAAATTATAGATGGTGATTTTGTTATCATCCATGTTTTTGAAATCTTACGAGCATAAAAGAAAGTGAATCACCATCTCCAAAGAAGGAATTCGTATGCCAGCAATGTCCATCTCTCTATCAAAACTCTGCAGGAAAAGTAAGTTGTGCATGATGAAAGCATTAGCCATTGAATTGACCAGCCATCGGCGCTTTCTAGTTTAGAAGCAGAAGGGCAAAAATATCAGGAATAGGATTTGCACCCCAATTACCTCATGGTACCAAGAAAACAAAGGCACGATTCCGAGGCCATCTAACACCATTGGTCTGGTTTGAACTCCAAGTCCTCTACATGCATCAAGCAATTTATTCAGCTTTTCTAGAGAATCAAGCTGAAATGCATTTCTTTTGTCATTCAGGAAAAGGAAAAAAATGAGAAGGAAAGTAAAGTTGTTAAATGGCTAGAGGGAAACTAAAACAAGATTGCTTACATAATATGGGAAGCCCTCAGGCTCGGAGCGACACCAAAGATCATGATTCCCGGGAACATAGAAGACATGTTGAAATCTATCCTTGAGAAGGGACATAGTGGAGTAAAAGTTGTGGTAAGTCTCAGCGACATCGCCAGCAAGAAGAAGAAGATCATTTTTGTAGGCCTTAGTTGATAAGGACTTAACCCAATTCATGTTCTCTGGGTAGTCGGTGTGCAAATCAGAAAGAACGAAGACCCTGAAGCCTAAAGCCTCCCTAGAAAGAGGAGGAGACGGTATCTGGGGCCTCGTAATGCAATAATTCCTCGAGTTTCTCTTGCATTGTTTTTGTGTGGAGAGATGATTACAGGCACGGGATCGGTGAGGTGGTGGTGGTGGTGGTGCAGGAGATAAGGTCAGGCAAGAAGAGGTAGACCTCATCACCAACACCATGCCGCCTCCTCTTCTTATCAATCGGCAGAGACGGAGGCCCAGTTGGACTTTCGGTGTTCCGGTGTGAGGTGTGGTGATTTGTTTTTAATGAAAAGCATGTATGTTTATTTTTAGAAGATGTGATGTGTATTTTAAAAAGATTGCATTTAAAAAAAAAGACAAACATTCTTAGGATTGCATTGCGAAATAAAAAATTAACCCAGAATAATAAATGGATCTACAATAAGATTCAATTGAAGGGATCCAATTAAAAAGAAGAAAAGACTAGGACGACAAAGGCCCAGTCCACTGTACAGTTGGGGCATCGAAGCCCAAACTAGTACTATATTTAAAAAATTAAATAAATGCTTCGATTTATAGTTTCAATTAAAAATGAAAAAACAAGTAGAAGATAATCTAAATGCACCGTAAATATATAGGATTGTTATTAAAAATAATTTTTTAACATATATATATATATACACACACACCATCAACTTTGATTAAGTAGTGAAATTAAAAATAATAAACCTTCTATAAAAGAGTTTAGAAAACAAATTATAAAATTATAAAAATAAAAATTAAATTGAAATGATCAATGTGATTTTTTACATAAAAAAATTATAAATATAAATTGAAAAACTTATACACGCATCCAATTAAATATATTACATATCATTTTGTAAATAAATGAAAAAATAGTAATTGATGATGAATAAAAACATACTTATAAAAATTAAGATATCAGTATAAATCAAGATATTTAATATTGCAATACGGTTTATTTATTTATTTTTATTTAATCAATTTGTTTATAAAAATAAATTTCTAATAGAGAATGACACTCATAAAATTTATTGAAAAAAAATAAAAGGAAAAAAATACTATGCATGATTGAACTTGTTAAAAATATCATAGAAAATAATATTTAATCTATACAAAACATTAAAAAATACAAATGAATCATAAAAAAATTAAACACATATAGTATAATTAAAAAATAATCATTATTCAACAAAGGCTAAAAAACCCAAAAACATTATAAAGAATATTAATCTAAATATAAAATTAGAATTATTAAAAAAAACACATATAAATATAAAACAATCAAGATTTTGAAAGGAAAAAAAATTGAGGCCAAGCATTAGGCCTAGTACGTAAGCCTGCAAAGCCAGGCTCACACATGCGAGTTTTTTTTTTAAGTTTAATTAGGTATTTGCCACCTAATTATTCAAAAAAACAAATAAGCAATGCATCATCAAGAAATCCTATAATTCAGCTACTTGTAGCTAGAAAAACTAGGTTTATTTTTTATCTAAAAACTTTTTATCAACCTATTTTTTATTAAAAACACTTAGAAAACGTCTTTATGAACCTTGTTAAACCAATTCGTAGCCTTTAAAAACACATAAAAAAAAACAATCTAAAACCTAAAATCAACTCAAAATCAAAAATATTTTAAAACTCAAATTTTTTTATTAAGTTGTTTTCAAGATGGGAAAAAAAAACCACTTAATTTTCCCATCAACAACTCTCTAAACTGGAATTTAGTGACTTTTTTTTCTCCTCCATAAAAAATAAATACTAAAAAAAAGAAAAAGAAAAATTAATACCAAAATACTTTTTTTAAATAAAAGTACTAATTACCTAATAGTTGAAAAAGATAAAAGATGAAAATAAAGTTTTCAAATAAATTGTAAAGTCACCCTTTTAATTTACCCACATATATCACTTTAATCCTTCATCTTTCAATTCAACCGTCACTTAAAAAAATACAATTAAGATTTAATTAAGACTAAAACAAATTCAATTGTTTGCAAAATAAAAGTTAATTTTTTTAAAAAAAAAATCATTAATAAAATCCACAATTAAAAGTGAAGAGAGAAATTGATCTCTTTTAATATTTACTAGCTATGTAACTCATGCTCTGTCACGAGTCAAATAATCAGTATTTTTTAAAAGAAGCTTCTAAACAAAATAAAAGAGTGGAGGTTTTGTTCATTTTAAGTTTTTAATTTTTTAACTGGTCACATTACTTTATTTTTTTCAATTGTATTCTTTAAATTTACATTTTCATGGCAACCATAGTTTTCAAACCTGGTTTGGGGGTTGACCCGACAAAGAGGTGGGGTCTTGGGTTACATAATTTGACTCGGGTCAACCCAAAAAATTAAAAAAAATATTTGAGGTTTTAATATTTTATATGAAGAATTTAAAAAAAATACAATCAATGTAGATATAGGCTATAAATATTATAAACAATTAAGTTTCAAAGATTATTTCAAAAGGTTTTTTATCCTACATTGAAAAAATACTTTTTTATTCTTCTAAGTTAAAGTATTTAAACAAAAAAAAATTATTATTCCATATTGAAAAAACATAATTTTTTTCTTGTGAACATAGAGCATCTACGCCAAAGGATTTCAAATCTCACATTACAAAAATAAAATATTCTTCTAGTATTTATATAATAAACTTTGAAATGAGTTAGAAACCAACTGAAACATATTTTTTTTTAAAAAGTCTTTATTGGATTTTTGTCGGGTCATTTGAGTTTTGGATTGACCCAGCAAGTTGGTTGGTTTACTCTGAGCCAATTGCAAGCTAGATTTTCAATGAAATAGACTCAATCAAGGCCCGAGTCACCCGAAAAAATTTCAAAAAAATATTTGATGTTTTGATATTTTATATGAAAAAAATGAGAAACAATTCATATTAATATAGACTATACACGTTATAAAAAATTAAATTTAAAAGATTATTTTAAAAAGTTTTTTATTCCACATTGAAAATATGTTATTTTACTTTTCTAAGTTTAAATATTTAAACAAAAAATGTTTATTATCCAACATTGACAAAACATAATTTTTTTCTTGTAAACATATAGTATATATACTAAAAGGTTTTAAATTTCACATGAAAAAAATAAAACACTCTTCTAGTATTTATATAGTAAACTTTGAAATCAGTTAGTAACTAATTAGAAAATATATATAAAAAGGGGGGGTTTAGGGTCGGATAAAAAACATAATTGAAAAAAATAAGGTTTCTTCTGGGTTTTTGCTAAATCACTTGAGTTCTAGGTTGACTCAGTGGATCTACTGGTTTACTCCTAACTAATTGTAGACCTAGATTTTGAATGCAACAGGCTCGTCCAATGATGCTGGGCCTAGTATCCCAGCATAATCCAACAATGTTGGGTCCTAATGTGATCATGGCCTAAAGTTGTTAAGTCCCAGAGAGAGGAAGACCCTAAAGATAAGGTTTAATGGCAGCAGAGCCTAATTGAATGGTAGGTTATTGTGTTATGCAGGGGTTAATGTTGGTGGGTCTTACTGTTGGGCATGACCCAAGCTGTTGGATCCTAGTTAAAAAAAACCTAAAGATATTGGGTCATAATAGCAGCAGGGCTCAACTAGATGTTAGATCATGGTTGTAGCAGGGTTTAATTTGGCGTTGGGCCATGGCAATATGTATAGTCTAACGATATTAGATCCTGATGGGATCAAAATTCAAAGTTATTAGGTCTTGGTGGAAGAAGGTCCCAACGCTATTAGATCCTAATAAAATAGAAGGCTAGGCCCAATGTTCTTGTATCCTAGTGTGGTGAGAGACTAAGCACAACATTGTCGCATCTTATATATGGTGGGAGGCCCAAAATAGTTGGGTCATGGTGTGGTGGGAGGTAAGGTTAGGTCTTGTTGTTAGGTCCTCGTTGAAAAGGGACCAAAGATATTGGGTTCTAGTAATTGCAGGGATCAATTGAACATTGGATCATAGTGGTATGTAGGGCCAATGTTGTTTTGTTTTAGTGAATAATACAAGGCTCAATTCTATTTTGTCGTGCTAGAAGGCATGACCTAAGACCTTTAGAGTTGGTTCTCGCCTGATCCATTAGCATTAAGTCCTAGAGTGAGCAAGATCAATTACGTTAGATTTAATTTATATTTTTTTTAAAATAATATTTTAAAAAATAATATAAAAATATATTAAAAAATATTAATTTAAAGTAAAGAAAAAAATTAAAAAATTTTAAATTTTTTGGGCCTAGATGCAATCTTAAATTTTTTTTTTTAAAAAAAACTATTTAAAAATAATATAAAAATATAAAAAATATTAATATTTTAAAAAATTAAAAATAATACAAAAATATTAATTTAAAATTAAAAAATTTTAAATTTATTATATCTTGCTTGCCAAAAGTTAATTCAAAATAATTAAAAATTAAAAATTAATAACAAAAAACCCCTAACATTATTCAATCTTACTAGAAAGGACCAACACCATTCAATCTTGCTAGGAAGGACCCAACATTATTGGTATGTTTTAAAAGTGTTTTAAGTCTAATTTGTTAGCCAAACCCAGTAATTTTTTACAGAGAAAACAACTTTTTTAATCGCAATTCTTAATTAAAACACAAGAAAGAAACAACTCTCCCGACCGCAATTTTTAACTTAAAAACATAGAAAAATACACCTCTCGAGATGCTGCAATGTTGTCCATAGAACAATGCGTCTGTATCTAAGAAAATCTGCAACGTTTTTCCCATACATTTTAATATATAATATAGCATAATAATAATTTTTCTAAACTCTTTGCAAGCCGATGACTTAAAAAACCTTAAAGAAAAAGTAGAGTAGCTCTTTAAGCCTACAAAAGGCAGAGCAACAATGAAAATCCATGTAAAGTAACTGTGCAACTGTGCAAGTCTCTCGATCCAGAATACATGTATAACTATAATTAGTCATGTCACTCTTACAACAAAGACCTATCTATGTAAATTCAAGGCATAAAGTTGCTTTCTATATATACCTATTTTTGTTGTCAATTCGAGCCTCCTCGCTGTATCTTATTCTTCATGAAATAAATGTAAATGAATTTCTGTACCCAAGGATTTATCTCAACCTAAAAAATAGATACCATGTATGTGAACTGATCGATGCCTTCATCCCTCAATGAAGAAAGTAGTATTTGCCACCATTTCTTGTCTCTCCCAACAGTCTACATGTTTTGGCATTTTCATGGTCCTCGCATCTTGTCAACGATATTCCTACCCTTTTCTTCAATATGGCGCCTCTTTTCTTCCAATTTCTCCCCCATCTTCTTCCCTAGATCAAGCATCTTTGCCCTCCTTCCCATTTTCTTTGGTCTTGAATCATCTTCTTCAACAGAACGAGTCTGTTTCTCCAGAGATATCAGAGACCAAGAAGGTGATTGACTTTCCGAGGCATACCCTGAGCTGTTTTGGCCAGTTTCTAGCGCTTCACTGTTTGCCAACAAAGGAGTTATTAGATCTTGCGATGACTTGTCATTTTTCATTGATGGCTTCTTAGAGCTTAACGCTTGAGTCAAATCATCTGAAGAATCAGAATATGGTGGTTGAACATTTTCAGCATTCCTTGTTTTCTGATGCTTGCTTTCTGGATGATCGTATGAGGTTTCCCCGCCAGCTTCAATCTTGGTTTTTGCATCAAGTTGGGAGTTCAAAAGTTCAAGTGCAGTGGCATTATCACTAGCGGCTTCTTGATTAACCCATATAAAAGGAGCAACATTTCGAGGGACCCAGTCATTCTTTTCTGCTAACATCCAGGGAATGCACACGCTTTCACAATTTGGAAGAACCATTGTCTCCCGGATTGCAGCCTGCATTATTAAAAGGAGCATTGGATGAACTTACCTTGCATCTATCATTCATCCTATTTTATTTCCATAGAAGTACCAAAAATTCCAAACACTAACTAAAAGCAACCTAATAGAAAATCACAATTGACAACAATTCCGAGATTCACAAACTGATCATCTGAAAGGCAGTTTAAGCAAGGTGTTAATCTCACATATGACTAGCAAGGGTCCTAGACTTTTCCAACTCAACAAAAACAAAGAATGCAAATACAGGGGACTAGGAGTTGTGATAAGAACATGCCTCCATCAGAAAACACAAACATCTAACACTCCATAAATAGACTTGGAAGTTTTTGAGTATCATAGTCAGAATATGATTCACTACAATGATGGAACTACTTGCAATATCCGTTCAGAAAGGAAAAGAGCTTCTGGCTTAGTCAAGGTTCTTTTGGTTAGGAAAAAAAGAAACTACTGCAATTTAAAAGATGAAATTTACTGCGAAATGCATTTCAAGAGGAGGAAGAGAGATAGTTGCTTAGAGCTGCATGCTCATCAATGCAGACATCATGTCAAGCAACATAGCGACCCAAGTAATGACTGACTGCTTATGTGTTGAAGGAAAATTAAAATAATAGTAAATAGTCCTATGCAACAAGGAAGTTCCATACCTTAAATTTATTGATCAGGTATAACGCTACTTGCCCACTAGTGATCCTGTGTTCCCCAACAGAAGACTCCAACTCAAACTCCACATCAGGCGTGGATGTGAAGCCAAACCATAACTGATCAGAGGGAGGTGGCTTAATATGTAATCGCACTGTTCCACGAACGGATCCTAACCTTATTGACAAAGAGAGTGGCACCTGCAATCGATAATCAATCAGTTACTTGGCAAGAGAAAGTTCACTTTGAGTTAATGGGACTTCTGCAAGTACCCTCAATGTTGTTCTATACAAATAACGTGATGATTTGAGTTAATGGGACTTCTGCAAGTACCATAATGTAAAAAGCCAGGACTCACTTTTGAAAACCATAATGCAACATCTGTAATGGCTCCACCTCATATGACCAACCTAAGTAATCTTTTATTACTCTTATTATTTTCTTCTCCATGTTTTCAATCAAGATGGAAATAGTTTACCATGAAAATTAATTTGTAAGCTCTACAATGATGAATTTCACATGGTTAAGATGAAATTATAAACATAAAAAGCAGAATCCCTTAAAAAAGGATGTTGAAATAGAGGCTAAAGAATCGAAGACAGCATCATAGATCCAATATTCCTTTGAGAAAATAGGAGGGCATGCCAAGCACAACTAATGGGGAATGAAGAAAGACAACAACATAAGAGAATGGTGGCTAAAGTGATTTTGCCTCCAGCTTGAGGGGCCAACGAACATAAATAGCAAGTCTTTATTTGAACACTGTTTTTATTAGACAACTATAACAGGTATCATGTGGCAAGATCTCATCTGACTGATGGTAAAGAAAAAAACTTGTGGGAAACAAATATCCTAAATGTCGATAATAGTAACATAACTAAGATACTGAATTACAGGCAAATACCACAATTGAATTCAAACTAATTCAAGGGATAAACACCATATAATAAGGATATATGTATCTTTGCATATAGGTACAAACAACCTATATATACAGAAAAAGTTTTATACAAACCTGTGAAACCTGTTTTGCAACAGAATTAAGGAGGGACTTCCACCTAGATACATTCGTTGATGTTGTTATGCCACTCTTAAAGTCCTTTAATTCATCTGTAGCAAGAAAAGATGAGGCTCAGTTGGTATTGTTTATTGTGAATTTCCATTAAAACAGTCAATTAAGAATTCCTCCTGTCCAAAATAACAATAAATAACTGCACTAACCATTAAGACTGTTGCAATAAGTGGAATAGAGAAAACTGCTACAATAAGTGGAATAAAGAAAATTTACATGTTTATCATCCTGACACATGTCTACCTCCTTGCTTCCTAATTTAAGATGATATTGCATGGACCAGGACCCATGCATGTCATGAACTAATCTTAATTAGGAAAAACAGTTATAACCATCTCATCCTCATAGGTTTGTTTCTGGATACAAAGACACAATTCTTTAAAGGAGTTTATGCAATGTTCATTAATGGAAAAAACCAACTCATTTCCTGCATGAACATAGAAATGAGAAGCGACCAAAACCTTGAAAAAAAAATTGACCTTATTTAGGGCTTTTTAGGTGACAAAGAACAGGATCCTAGATTTAGTTTACATTGAAATCTGATGCTATCTTGTTTGTATGAATGAATGCATCCACCCATGTGCATGCAAGTCAACATCATTTTCAAATAATATTACCACAACAGTGGTCTGAATTAACTACAAAGTTAAAAAGCAGTTAGGCAACATTCCAGTATTTTGTTTTACATATGAAAGTTGAGGACACCCATCAGCGTCTTCAAGATCTGGCAACTGAATCACTGCGAAAGTTTGATTGCAACTTTTGGATCATACAAGGTTTTCTTTTCTGTACATGTGAGTTAGTAATATTTGAAAGCATTAACTTGCAAACTAACAGACAGATATAAATCAGTAAGAATCTTCTATGCTTACCAGACATAGGATTACCCTCATCCTTCCTTTCTCGTGAATCAACAGTCCCTTCAGAAAAATTCAACTGCTTTCCAAGATGTTCAAAACCTTCCAGAAGGTCTGATGAAGCATCCCTAACAGAGCTGGATCCCAAGTCTGTATCCACCACACCTTTCTGCAAATCTAGGTCACGAACTTCCAGTCTTGTTTCAATATCTAGCACTAGCCCGCCACAATATTCGATATCAACTTCCCATGCCCATACCTCATTCATGTGTGTAGGAAGAACCCTAATACCATGGATATAAGGCGGGAGATTCCCAAGGTTTAGATCAGTACATATGACTTCGCCAATGTAACTGGGGGTCCTCATATTGGACAAAGTTCTCTGTGATCCAAAATCAGGAAAGAACAATGTCTGAGTACATTTTTTTTTTTAAAAAAAATGTTCATATTCATCAAAGAACACCTATTACGTTATAACAATTTTCTCCTCGCCTATGGAACACGGTTCATAAGTTCAAATGGAAGCAGGATATATTCCCTGTTGCAAGAGTTCTATCTACTGTATAAATCAGGGCATGGAAAAATCCAAGCATTTGGAATTCATGAACACTAAAAGGCTGAATAATAAGCACGGATCAGAACCAATATTAAAGCTACATTCTTAAGTGCTCTTACATTAAAATAAAAATTATTTGATAGACCAATCCCCAAAATTGCTACCCACTGCAGATATTAAAACTACAAGCAAAGCATCATCTACTTATAGCAGAATCTAACATGCATCAATGGACAAAACTAAATGCTATTGAATATAATTTGGGAAATAATAGACCTGAATCCGCGCTTGTGTTAAACTCTTCATCCTGTCATTGCTTTTGGCATCAAAAAAGAGCCGAGAAATAATCAAGTTCCAGCAGAGTGTTCCCTCATCAACATTTAACTTTTCATCAGCGTCTGCATCAGAAATGACTTGAAGCTGGCTTAGGCTTGAGGCACGGGAACTGGTTGATGACGAAGGTAACGAGATATTTTCTTCCTCGGAGTTGATAGGGGCCTTCGATGTTGATAGGGATGGATGATACTTATCATTAATCTTTCTCTCTTCACGACCTAACAAGGAACTCACCTTATTTTCTACACCACTCTTTGATGCCTTTCTGGCAAGCTTTTTCCAAAACAGGCGAACCTTTGATTCAGAACCATCAAACCTACTGGCCCTATCAATTGGCTCAACATAGAAACCAACAGAGGGTTTCATAAATGAAGGGTATTCTGTATTTAAGGATGTCAAATATCGTAGGAACTCTTCATTCAACTTGATGAACCAGTTAAGTTTTTCTTGGTCATCACTTGAAGCAAGACGGAGGGCTTTACACCATGACTCCTTCTCCCAGGATGTCTCAAGAAATATAAAGACTGTCTTACTTGCATTATATATTGGTGATGTTTTGCTTTCCACTTTTATTGGAAATCTTTTGGCCCTGTTGTAGGAATAGAGACTAGTCATGTTTCTCCTTAGATAAAGGTGAAAAAGACACCATAACTTCTTGAGCTATTCTTTACTGAATCAAGTAACATGCATATTTCTAACACTAAATAAATGCAAATTTTGATTCTATTGAGCTGAGTTACATGGAATTTCAGTAAGATTTCAAAGGCAAGTATTTCAGTCCTGGTCAAACAGGTTCAAACTGATGAGTTAAGTCAAGAAGGAAGTTGACATCCTGAACAAATGTGGTTGCTTAAATGGCACTAACCATTACACTGGCAGCATTTTACGAGTAATGGAAATCCTGATGGTTGAAACCATGGTTATTAGAATCTAATGATTCGTATCAATTCACATAAAAAATGAATCACGGGTGTACATGTATCCTATGATTCAGTCATAATTCTGGTTGATTCAGTATTATTCATTGAATTTTATGAGTCAACTAAAATAGAAAATGAAAGTGAAATTAGTGAGAATAAAAATGCTAAGGCAATTTTCTTTGATTAATACTTCTAATTGAGACTGAAATGTATTATAAATTAAATCTTACAAAGAAAGGCAAGAGTAAAAGAAAGTAAGAGTACCAAAGACAACAAGAATGACAAAGGTGATATTAAAATTGGGGAAGAATGAGACTATTACTTTTTATTAAAACTCGGAGATCTAGTAGTTTACATAGTTAGATGATAGCTCTTAGATATGTAAGTTATTTAGTCTTTAGAATGATCAATATGTTAAATTTTGAGACTTTGGGGTCATTTAGCAACTAAGAACTAAAAAAATAAATGATTTGTTGCATACTTTGTTTTGCAAATGATCAAAACTCCCTTTATTTAAAAAATATTTATAACATTATATATCTTTTAAATGTCATTTTCATGTACTGAATCAGCAATTCATAATCCCAAAAATGAGCTTTACAATTCATGATTCAAATCTCGGTTTGACAACCATGGTCGCACCACTACAAGGAGCTGTGAATGAGAAATAGTTACTGAACTATCAAGCTGAAGTTCTTTTCCAAAATGAAATTCTGAGCAAAAATCAACGCACATAGAAGTAGGAGGCTTAAGTATTTGGTCCTTGACTTGTCAATAGCAAAACCAACCCCAAAAAAGCAATATGAAGGCAATTGATTAATTAGCATGTGTGAAACTATACGGCGTAATAGAAGCCAACCAAAAGTATCCCATAAGACAGCAGTTACCATTTTCTTGATGGAAGGCTTGTAGCTGACACAGCTTCTATTGCACAACCTTTCAAAGGTATAACTCTATGTGAACCACCTGAATCTGTCAAAATAAGTGAACTACCCTTGATTTTTGCCTGTTTTCGGATGGGAGTGACCTCAAGGAGCTCCTTTTTCTTCTTTTGATCTTTCGGTACTTTTTCCACTGGCCAATTTTTCAGAACCTTATCTGAATCAAGAACCCAGACATATCCCTGAGTCACAGAAGTAAATCAGCGAATGAAAAAAAAAAAAACCTTTAACTACTAAAAGACAAAATCAACAATGAGTTTAAATGTGCACGATTGTGGTGTGAACATGCATTTCTCTATCTATGCACGATGGATGAACGTTAGTAATTGAAAGATACCACAGAGAGATACCTTCTTGTTATGGGCATAATCAAGGGACTGTTGGGGATCGAGGTCTTGATGATGTGGAAGAGAAGAAGAATAAGAATGTGATGCATGTTGTTGTTGAGTCTTTCGATTCAATCTTTTAATCAAAACATAAACACCCAAAGCTTGTAAAGCAACAAGAGTGAGCAGGCCAGAAAGAAAGCCACCAGCAAATATTACTACCACGGGCCACATCACTCCTTCCTTTCTTCTCTTCTTTTCACTCGATCTAATGATTTGATCAGCAACACAGCATGAATCACTGAGTAAACAGTGTTATTGTTAATCTGCGATTCGCTGACTTGTTGGGGTCGTAGGTAGAACGAGTCAAAACCCCAGAAATTTTTTTTTTAAAAAGAACCAGAAAAAAAGAAATGGGCAACTGTGTGGGCAGGCAAGGTGGTGTTTTCTGAATCAATCAAGCAATAAATCATGTGGGGGTGGAGTTTAAAAAAACGAAAAGAATGTTATTACAGAAGGAATAGCACCACTACTGTTTACAATTTGCTCAAGAAGAGAATCAGCTTCTCCCTCCTTATTCTCTAGAGACGCTATTTGCACTGCTTTTGCTTCGCCAAGACCTGTCCTTTCTAGATTCCTTCCACAGCGCATTGAAAAGATAAGAGCAATAGAATATAAGAAGAGGAAAAAAGCAAAGGAACACGCGTGTTCATCTAACACTTTCGTATTCTTTGACTATATAGATGGACCGATCATTTCAGTATCGTTACATTTCAGGGAAGCAGTCTCACTTAAAAAAAAAAAAAAAAATTATTATTATACAATATATTAAAATTGTTGAGCACCTCTCACTGATTACCGAAACACATATTATGAATTGGAGAAGTGCAATAGTTATTCTTAAAAAAAAAACTTATTAGGTATGTAATGGAAGGTGGGATTATTTTTTTTCATAGGAACCGGTTGATGTTAAAAAAATAATTAGAAATAAAATAATTAATTTAAATTTTATTAGGGAAAAGTAATATTGTAGGTCCTAGATGTTAAGACATGATATAATAGTCAACTATCTAATGTTAGAGTAAAGTATGATTGTCAAGTGTGTTTAATATTATAGTAATTTTTATAGTTGTGGTTGAGGTTGGTTGGTATTTATATATATATATATTTGATTGAAATTAAGGTTAAATAAAAAATAATTTAATTTTTTTAGTTGAAAATGCTTTTCAAATTAAGATTATAATAACTAATACACACACTCTAGATAAGATAATATAAATAACTTAGTATATGGTATTGTTATATTTGAGAATGTCTAAAAAATCAAGTTACAGGTTTTCAATTTATATATTGATTTTATAAAAAGAATAAACAAATAAATACAAATTTTTTATGCGAATGAACAAGGCAAGATCGACAATGTCAGAATTCTTGATCAAATACAAAGCATACTTAAATGTACATAAAATATAACAAGAATGAAAATAATAAAAATAAAATCTTACTTAAATTTGTAACATAAATCAATACATGAGATATTAGTTACAGAAAAGAATGGAGATGGGCTGCAGATATGAGTTACAAGGGAGAGTAAAATTTTCTGCGGGAAAAATTAGTCTATCTTCTGAGGTTTTAGGAGTTTTCTTTTATAGACAAGTTGTCATGGAAGAGAAAAAAGCGTCTTGTTGAAAAGTATGAAGATTCTTTCAGAACCTATGTGAACCCATGTGGCATTGTCTACCATTATTGGGTGATGACAAAATAAAAGATGCCCATGTTTTTTGTGGGACTTTCAATTGGTGTCTTCTTATTACCGACACTTGATTTGTATGTTTGTAGTAGCAAGTAATATTTGTAGAAAAGCCTAAAACAAATAGGCTTTAAACAAAGGAACTCAAAATAGTTGAGTCGAAAAGATATAAACTCTAAACAGATAAGCCTAAGAAAGTCTGAAATACTCTTCTTTTTTTTAATGTCATTTGATAGGTTGCAAGATACCAAAACAGTCATCTTCATTATCATCTCCAAGGAAAATGGTAGGGGATATTGAGCTAGATAAGCTAGAGTGGAACAAGACTATTTTCGGATCTTGACTTTGTATAATGCCTTGTACTATTTGTAGGTATTCCTCATCAATTCTAGTAGAGGCAAAGAGAGCTGTCATTTGAGCCTTTCGGGTTAAAAACTTTGATTGAGGATGATGATCAATGATGGGAGCCGTTTGATATTTTTGTAACTATTCTGTAACAGCTAATTTGGAACTTTTGGACTCAACTGCAAAGGAATCCCACCATTTGATTTTAAATTTATGAACAAGTATTGGATGTCCATTTTATAGATTATAATCATAGAACCATGAACATATCCATGGAACAAAAAATTTGGTACAAAAAATGAGAAGGGAAGAAAACTTCCTTTTAGAAGAAGCTGGTTGAAAATTATTTTTGAAATAAAAGTAACAATTTTCACCCAGAGGATGTTCTTTGAGGTAGTCAACATGACAATTGACATGACCAAAAGATTGATATCTTCTTCTAAGTGTAGGAGTATTGAAGTAATAAATAACCCGGCAAGACTAAGGTAGAACCACAGAGAAGTTAATTGTATAAATTATAGATAACAATAATACAACAATAACAATTACAACAACAATAGTAGTAGTAATAGTAATAAAAATAATAAATAAATAAATAAGAAGAAAAGGAGGAAGAAGAAGAAGTTGATGAGAACTTTAAGACAGAAAATTAATGTAAAGATTAAACAATGATAACAACAAATATCAAGGTTAAAGGATCCACTAAT